GCATAATATATACATGAGAGCAATACATTATTCTTAATTAACATAATCACATTATCGATGTTAGGCCGTTTTAACGTACCGAGCATATGATTGATTACTTACGTAATCCGTTCCTCTTCTACTGGATCTAGCCAGTGTAGAAGTGCATATCTTTCTACGCTTCTCTTATTTTGTTTCTCCATTTTGTTCTGTCTTTAGCTACTTTATGCTGCTTTCCAGTCCAAACGCATTTGTCTTAAGTACAATTGTATTTCGTCATTCCAGCTACTTCTTGGTCTTCCTTTCGTCTTTTTCTTGAATTTTTTCATTCTCTAGACCCTCTTTGCCAATCGTGTATTCGGCATTCTGATCATGTGTCCAAACCACCTTAGCGCATCCACCTTTTTTCTACAGATATGACACCTAATCTTCTTCTCATCTGACTTTGTCCATAGTCTTCAGACCCGCAATTTTTCTTAGCAGTTTCATTCCACTTGCTTGTATTTTCTGTCCCTGTCTTTTACTCAATATTCACAGTTCTGAACCAGATGTTATGGTAGGAATATACAGTGAGTTGAACATTCTTATTTTTGTTTTTGTTGATCTTCTATTTCTATCGTAACCTTTCCATCTTCTATTACCATTATTCCTAAATATTTAAACTATGTTATTCGTTGTATTATTTGTTGTTCTAATCAGATTTCTATGTTTTCTGGGTTTTTGGAAATACTCATACATTTTGCTTTGTCCATATTTATTTTCAGTTTATATTTCCCAAGTTCCTCATTTAATACCTCAAGGTTATGTTGTAGGTCTTCTTTTTTGTTTGCTAACACTACTGGGTGATCTGCAAACGCCAGTTGGCTAATATTTATCCCATTCATATTATAGCATCCCGACGTTGTTTTCTTGATTCTGTTTATACATTTTTTTATAATGTTATCCATTAGTGCTGGGAACAGATACGGTCTCAATGCTCCTCCGTGTCTCGTTCCTGATGTAGTTGTAAATTTTTCAGATTTTTTATTTTCTGTTCATACATAGTTGTCGGTATTCTTATATAGGCTTTGTATGTTTTCTATTAAATTATTGTTTACATTATGCTTGTCCCTTCTATCCACTAAATGTTTTTGATAAATCTATGAAGCACAGATATTTTGTTTCTTTATTATCAACAGCTCTAAAAATACTCTTTTTCCCATATCTTCCTCATACTTTACCATCTCTGCCGTTATTCCGTCGTATCGGCGGCTTTCCCTACTTTAAGTTTCCTTACGGCTTTTTCTAATTCTTTCTCGGAAATAGGATCTGTTACAATGTCAATATGTATGATAATTTCTTGTATTAAGTCCTCCCTTACGCGATTTTCCATATTTTCTTCCGGTCTTAATAGCTCCCTAAAATATTCCCTCCATCTTTCTATGATTTTTTCGTCATGTGTTAGTAGATATCCGTTTTTATCTTTACTGCATTTTTTATATAATTTGCCCACCACGCGGTTTGCTTTCTAAGGTTATTCTCTACCGTTGTTCCACACACCTCTTCTACGCTTACTCAATATACATGTTTTAACTATGTGCCATGTGTCGATACTGTGATGATTTACATCTTTTCGGTGATGTTCAAGCTTTTCATGTAAAATGTTTTCGAATCTTGCTTGAGTATGATTTTCTCTTAGTTTGTACGTTTTAATTTTGCGCCGGATTTCTTTTCTCCTTATTATTTCCTTGCGCGATATTTATTTTTCTTTCTAGGAGATCAGGCACTTTCGACTCGTTGATTTTCGAAATTAGTGCTTTTGAAGCTATTCCGTAATCAACGATAGACTTTTCGTTTCTACTCGTGAGTACTCTTAGCCCTTTTTGTGACAGTTACTGCACTGTATATTAGCAAGTGGTCCTTTATTAACTTGTTACCTTGTCCTTTTATTTGTGTTTCGGTTATTTCTAATAGTTTATTTAGGCTTTGCTTTTTCGAATTCCATTATTAGTTCTTCTTTTTTACCTGTGAGACTTCCTGTATTCCATGCTCCTACGCAAATCATTTTTTATTGCCTTTGGATATATTTGTTTTTGATTTTAACTTTACTTATATCTGTTTACGTTCCATATCCATATCCTTGCTCCTTGTCGCTGCCTTGGTCATCATCCCATCATCGTTACCTATTCTATTGCCTAGTTTTTCGATTACCTACCTAATATTTCTTGCTATTCTGCTTTGCCCTCCATCTTGTACTGGTGTTAGTTGATTAAAGGTTCTTGTCCACGTTTTATTTTACCCAGGCGTTCCGACATGTTGCATATTTGCATCATCGAGCTCTTATTTTGTGTAGACTTTTCCGTTTATTATTATTTTATCGTATCTCAGGAATGCCGTATTTCACCTTGCTCTTTCTTATTCCATTTTTTGTAGTAGCTTCCTCCGTAGTTCAACTATATTTCTTGGAATAGCTTCTTTGGTCCATATTTTATTTTTAAAAAGCAAACAAGAATGAAATGTCATCACTTATATAATACTTTTCTTTAATGTCCCCCTCCCCTTTGATTTTTTAAACGGATCAATTCAAAAAATTAAAACTTGAGGCAACGGTGGGTAGATACCATATTTTAGAGTATGCACGTTACCGTTGAGAAAATATGTACATTCATCACTAAAACAAATATTTTGGATATAGGTAGGATGACGTGCAATGGTTTCCGTCATAGTCTAGCAGAATTATGTTCTTCGATCAGGGTTATCTTCAGTTAGCTGATGTATGTATGTACCATTTGAATTTTTTATGGGTGATACTTATTCTTTTTCAAAAGTCTCCATACAGTAGAAGTACAAACTTCACATATGTACATTCGAGATGGAGGAAGTAGACTGTTGGGGATTTACTATGATCTTACCAATAATTTGAATTTCTTGGTTTTCTTCCGGGATGGCCGGATGACCTGGGGGCTTTTTGTTGTTTACACTACCAGTAGCTGTAAATTTTGATACAAGTTCCCTTAAATATTTTCTACAGTTAGGACGATTCGGGAAACGATCATTAAAAATTCTTTCGGTCTCGTGAAAGTTACGCGTCGCAAGATAAATAAAAATCGCTTAGATCTTTTCTCCCAATGGACAAGAATTGACCATTTTAAAAATATTTCAAACAGTATCTAGCTCTAAAACCGCAAAACTAAATAAGAATATTTTAACAGTAATACGTCTTTCCGCAATGATCTAAGTTTTCTCTTTGTAAGCAAAACTTGATTCCTCAATTTAATCGAAGCTATTTCAACCCGTAGTGGCTGTGGTTTTTTCATCCTTTTTATTGGCTCTATATTTTGCTCTTCATTCATAGCAACATCCATAGATTCTATTATACCTATTAGCTCCTTTGGTTTTAGGTGATGTTTTGTTTTAATTACCTTCTTCACTCACGCCATAAACTATAATCCAATTTCCCATAATTTCTTGCTCTAGGAAGTTCATTAGATTCTGTTGCTCATTAATATTTTCTTTTAATTCTTTGTTTTCGATTTTCATTTTTTCCATTTCTTTTAAACACTGTCCTATTTTCTGATCCAAACGGTTTAGCGTATCCAATTTTAATATTATTTCGTTTGCTGACGTTGTTTCGATTTCTCCAAATTTTCAATGTTTTCAATGCCGAGACTCTGTCTTCTGTTTCTCATTTACAGCTGTTTCTACCAGTTTTCGAAATCAGGCTAAACTGTGTAACTCCTACACTAATCTGACTTGTTTGGTGGAAATTACTGGAGGTGGCCTTATCCCATTTATGTATTCACTAATAGACTTTTATGGTTTATTTGCTCGCAATACTTCCGAAAATTATAGATTTATTATGGAGAGAAAATTCACCGAACTACACTCTGTCTCTCCAGGACCGGACTTCCATTTGATTGATTAGCGTATATTTATTTTTATCTAGTATTGTTAATCTCATTCAATCTTTGGAGAATGGCATAATTAGTCAGATATAAAACATTTGCGCTTTACTAAAAATTTCGCAGTACAATTATTGTATTATAAATGATTTTCTTATTGCATATTATATATACGTGATATGTATTCTACATTATCACTAACTCTACTGATATCTTTTTCGTAATGTAGTTCAAAATTCAACATACTATCAACAATTATGCCAAGGTATTTAAAGGAATTTTCGACAATCATAGCTTTTGTTTTCTGTGCGCTACATTTAAATTTAAGTTTTAAATCATTATTTATAATACCCTGTGGCAGGGGCGGCTGGCCCTTAAGTTCTGCAGAGCAGCAGAACTGCCAAAACTTTTGTCTTAACAGAAAAAAGCAGTAGTAATTTGATCATTATTTATTTTCCATGTTATCGCACAAATAGAAACAATACCGGCAACGCTGCCCCCGCAAGATACGGCGTCCAGTCTGTTTTATATTGAGAAAGCATTATAATCGACGAATTGTGTACCTGTCATTTTCGTCGCGACCGCAGCGTAATATTATTCATGGACCACTTGAAAAAGGTCTGTACACTACTTCGACACAAGCCGCAAGCGCTTGCTTTTGTCTCTCTCTACAAAATCAAATGCGCGATTTAAGCATAAGCACGTGCTGCACGTTATACAGATCCATACAGATCTAATACGAAGTACGATATCTGATTGGTCGGTCGGTGCTCGGTATAAAATTTTGCGGAGCATTTGAATTGGCGCTACGGGGCCACGACGAAATTGAGAACTCCCAAAACCCGGGAATATTTCGTGGAATATTTAAAGGAACTTTAAAAGAAATACAAAACGATCTACTGTATTGTGTTCTTGAAGTTTGTCTTGAAATAAGAAAACAGATTAACAGAGCCTCGTATTTGACGATAATAGCAGATGAAACAACGGACATTTCGGGGAAAACCCAACTGGTAACAGTTTTCAGATACGTATTTAACGGAGAACCAGTAGAACGTTTTTGGAATTATATGAATCCAGAAAAATGTGACGCTGATACTCTCAAAAGACATATTTTGAGCGTCGTAGATCCATTAATAGAAAATTTCCCTAACAAACTGATTTCACAAAGCGGTAATGAGCGGACATAATGCTGGAGTACAGGCAAAAATGAAACAAAGATATCCATTTGCTCACTATGTGCATTGCTATGCGCATCAGTTAAACCTGATTATGTCCTAAGCTGCTTCCGCAAATGCTCAAGTTGTTCTTTGAGGATTTGAAAGATATTTCCGGACTTTTTAATAATTCTCCTCAACGGGTAGACGTACTGAACAGAATTGTGGGGAAAAAATTCCCCAAGGAGCAACAACTCGTTGGAATTTTAATATTCGAACAATAAATGTAGTGTTTGAGAACAGAGAATCACTCATCGAATGCAAGGAAGAAATAGAAGAAAATTTCACAAATGAAACCGTTTGCAAGGCAGCTTGCGGTATTCGCCGTATGTTAAACGATTCTGTTTTCGTGTTTTGGTTGACATTTTTTCATCATGTCATGCCTCACGTCGACATCTTGTTCAACCAGTTGCAGAAGAGAAAAACCAAGCCAACGCAAGTTAAAACGGCTATCGATAATTTTGAAAAATGTATTGTCGATGTGAGAAAAAAAATTGTTGACATAATAAATGAAGCCAAAAGTATTTGCATTGAACCCCAAGGCAACAAAAGGAAACGACGTAATAATAGCAGTCACGATCACCGAGTTGCCGCATTAGAAGTATGCGACGATATAGTGAATTCTGCAAATGACAGATTTCAATTCAAAGATCATTTGGTAGCTGCATCCCTTTTTTCCCCCGAACACTTTGGAGAATACTGTGGTAAGTTTCCCGATGACAAGTTGGAAACTACCTGCTTTTCTTATCCCGAATTAGAAAAAAGTCATTTAAAGACAGCATTGTCTATTATTTATGCACGGAATGATTGCCGAGATTTACATCGAACTCTGTCTCTTTTGAAATTTTTGATACAGAATGGTTTGGAGGAAACACTAAAAGAAACAAAAAAACTATTAGAAATTATTGTTACAACTCCTATGTCAACATCAGTGGCTGAGCGAAATTTCTCAACATTGAAAAGAATCCAGACTTTTCTTCGTAATACTATGACCCAGCATCACCTTACAGCGTTGTCGATGTCCATTGAAAAGGAATTTATTTCGACCATGGAAAATTTCAAAGGGAAGGTGATCGACAAATTTGCTGCCAAGAAGGAGCGCAGGATCGAGCTGACATATAGAAAATAGGTAAGTTCGGATTTGCAGAACACCTGTTTTATTTTGCCTCGAGCCGCCACTGCTCTGTGGGGTATCTTGAATACTTACATGGTACATTGAATTGTACTCATTGCTTACTACCTATCGAAACAACCCCTGTATTATCCAAAATGCAATAATTGAGGTATTACGCACAGTGCAAGTTTCAAACACTAGATGCCCCACTCGTATCATTGACTGAAGCTGGGTCATTTCCACCAAAACCGACCATTATTGGCTACAATTGCTGAATATTAATATGCATGCACCTGTTGACGATCTCACAATGGAGAGCAACAATTTTAAACTGGTTTTCGCATTGCATTTGTACCGGTTGGATATATCGATAAAATTATCAGAAGTTTGCATATAATTTGCTGTTTGCTATTACATACACTGGATAGATGAAACTCATATTATAGAGAGGACAAATATCCAATATAATAGGGTTTGGATATGTATCAGAATGTGAATACAATACTTAATAGTCTCGATTTGAATTTGGATGAACGGTTCAGAAATAACCGATAACGTCACATGTACTGTATTGCTATAACATTCGGGAAGCTGGGGGACTGCGCAACATTCATCTTTGTTATTTTTATGAACGAACATTATCTGTTGTTCACGTGTTTAGTTTGAAGTTGAGTCATTAATTTTCAGATAATGATTGTAGAAGGATAATAAACCAAAATACGTGCGTAAAAATAGAAAAAAATGTTAGTAGTAACCTCCCGATAAGTATTTCAGTGCGGACCTGTATTTGATCGTGCGGTCTTGGAGCACCGGCATGCCCTCCCCTGTGAGGTCTTAAGTTACCTGATTCACGAGCCCTTTGCACTACATTAACAAAGGCACGAGGGGTTGGTTGCACTCGATTGGGAAACCGATCCGCATAAATCCGTGATGCCGCGGCAGCATTTTGTAAAGACTCCCCCCCGTAAATAAGAATCATGTCCACAAGTTCAGCATTTTCGTAAACATGTGCCATTTTTATTTCGTTTGAGCCACGCAACAAACACCACTATTCACTCACGCGTTACCGACTGACACATTGACTGAATAAAACTGAATAAAATTGTAGTAAAAACATCGTGATGAGCGTTTCAAATTCTTTCGCTTTTTTGTTTCCGATGCGATGAACCGATAACGCCGATTATATCCGTTGTTGCCAAACACGAGCACATAATATTATTATTGAGACAGGGCGGTACTCAAACTTCTAAAGCACTATAACTTTGTTACTTTAATTTTACCATAAAAATGTTAAAGGAAAAAAACATTTCTTTTGATCAGATCTACTCACTGTTAAAACAAATGACTCAACACGTTAAAAGATTTGTCAAGCGGGACAACTCTCAAAAGAAACTACTTTACCCCGTCTCACCCTTGGCTCCTCAAGGTCATTCCCTAACAAATTTTAAATGACAAGAGATGTCGAGTGATAGCTTGTTCGAAAGGTCTTTCGAAGTCCTTTATTTTTTTAATATCAGTCGATTCGTTTTCGAGAAAATTAGAAAAATCTTTATTTATCTTAATTTGTTCAGATATTAGTATATAAAAACACATGAAAATGTCACTTTTAATTTCAATGGGTGTTCAAAATGTTGCCCGTTAGGGCTTATCAAATCTACAACTCGTTTAAAATTTAAAACGAAAACTACCAACATAAACAGCAATTCGGAAGATTAGACGTGGCAACAAACATAACAGTCCGAATTTTTTCCGCATTCTTTTCATCAACACACATATCCTTTGCGAACTGTATTTATTGTTATACCTGTTTAGTTATTTGTTGCTAAGAGAAAGAAAAAATTTAATTTGCTGTCAGTTACCTTTGTGATAATCTTGGGATAGTGAAAATTGATTTATTGCTTGAGGTCTTACTTCCAGAATGGTTTACAGACTAGCCGATTCTAATTTAAGGTGCAAAAAATTAATGTGCTCGGCAAACTGTCATCACGTTTAACGCCAGACATCCGGGGAAGATAACTTCACACAGGTACGTTTTGGACCTTGTTACTGAATTTACTCAAACATGATTTGTTGCGAATGAAAAACGTGATCATCGGAGAGTTTTTGATGAAGCCACTTAATTTGAAGATTTGAGTTACTTTGCAATAAATCCTAATACTGCATAACGCAAAATTGTTGCTGCTACTGGTATTTCATTAGGCTCTGTACACACAGTTATTAAACTTCATAAATTTCATCCATTTAAAATGAAAATATTGCAAGAGTTAACCGAAGATAATTTCGATAGACGAATTGAGGTTTGTCAACAAATTACTGTAGCTATTAATGATAAATACCATTCATGTAAAGAATATCTGCTTCAGTGATGAATGCTCATTTTATCTAAATGGATTTGTTAATAGGCAAGTGCAGGTATTGGAACACTGCAAATCCTCATGCTTTCATAGAGGGGCATACCCAGTACCCCAAAAAATTAATGTATGGGCAGGCGTTTTAGGAAACAAAGTGATTTGGCCATCGTTTGTTAATGGAAATTTGAATGTAGACATTTATTTGGATATGTCGGGAAATACCATCAATCTGTTTATCACTATAACCATTGAAAACTAAATCGAAGGGGATGAAAACCCTATGCTTGGTGAGGCTAAAATATATATTTAGCAAAACGGCGCTCCTCCTCACTATGTTCTTCCGGTTCGGTAATGACTAAACGACGAGTTTCCAGATAAATGGATAGGGCGAAGGGGGCCTATAGAATGACCTATTAGATCCCCTGATTTGACGCCATTATACTTTTTTCTATTAGGTCATTTGAAATCTATTGTGCTTACTCCCCAACCTGATTTTTTGGATGAACTTGGTCAAAACACCATCGAGATCTGCCATGATATCCCACAACACAAATTAAGATAAATAAAGATTTATCTAATCCTCCTGAAAACCAATCGATCGATTTTTAAAAATCAAACGTCAAAATAAGGGACTTTGAAAGACCTTTCAAACAAGGTATTACTCTATAACTCCTGTCATTTCAAATTTTTAAGGGGCTGACCCCTTTAGAGCATGAAAGGGGGTGGAGTAGTTTCTGGTTAAAAAGTTGTCCCCCTTGACAAATCTTTTGACGTGTGTCGGCGTTTTTTCTTTTAATCAGCGGTTTCCGACAAATGAACAGGTATTAGAATTTATTATATAATAGAATGGCCATACTGCACAAGCACAAGTGCATACGTAATCTAATCTCATCCCTAAAGCGGCATCGCGGATTCAGTTACACCACCGTCAACACAATCAAAATAACTGCGTAGCTATTTTGATTTGTACCATCCACAACCATGGCGAATGTGTTTCATCAGTACGGTTAAGTTGCTTAACTATTTCAAGGGCGAGGGTATATAAAATAAACCACCTCAAAGCATGCTTTGATTAGGCAGTGGCACATATTCAACACCACTGGTATACATTTCATTTACAGATCGAGCAGCGGCTTAGGTCATGAACTACCACTCGAATTAAGTTGTTCACGTACCCACAGGGTGTTCCTTAATGATATGCGAATATTTAAGGGCGTGAATCTACATTAAAAATTAATGTTAGTTTGCTTCATAAGCTATGGTCCAAAAATGTTTCCTTACAAAACTCGGGGTGTTGAAGTTTTAGGGAAAAAAAGGAAATTAATCAATATTTTCAGAACCTCTTCAGATATTTCACTAATATTCAGTACATAGTGAAAGTTAATAAAGTTGCATATCTTTCTAAGCAAAAATAATTTATATATTTAACAGTGGCGTGCGTACGAGTATTGATTTCGATATTTTTGAAGAATAAAATGATACGCCAATGGTCTTTTGCCAAATGAAAATTATTTTTAATTCCCCGTTCAATTTAAAATAAATGATCTCTCTTGAATTGTTTTCCTTTGATGCGCCATTTTTGAGTAAAAAAAATAAAAACCGTTCTATTGTCTAACAACTTGCAAAATTATTATTAATTTAGTTGGAAAAATTAAACACATTAGCGGTAATGAACAACAACAACTGACGACATAAACATA